CCAAGACCGAGCTATCCATAGAAGAGCCTAAGCCGAACTAACCCAAAACCAAGTCCTGAAGAGGGCTCAGTATACTTCCTCACTTCCACCTCGGCTTTGCATGCCATGACCGAACTAACCAATTTGGCCGTGGCGACCGAGATAACAACAAGGCCTTCTTGGACCGAGCTAATGAAAAAGCCATTTTACTCTACCTTTCTTACTACGGCCCAAAGCGGCCCATTACCCAATCTGGGCCCAATTTATTCATACAAATTACCCTCTCAATTGCCCTTTAATTCTATCTGCGCAGCATGATGGGATTACTTTGTCTTCCAGCCGAGCTAAAAAAATTTTAATCTTGCTACCAAGCTAAGCCTTTAAGCTTTTCCAGCCGAGATAAAACTCTTAGCCTTTCCAGCCGAGCTAGGCTCACACCGGTCTGTACCTGTCCGGTTCAAACGTCCCTTCAATCACAGCAACTGAATCGTTTCTAATCCCTAGGACACGTGGCATACTCTTATTGGCCGAAGGTAGCTGTCACGCCGTCATCGTACCTCGTGTTTTTTTTTTTTGAACAATCCCGCCCAAATTTTGGGCCTTGCATAAAAAAAAACTCCTTTTGTTTCTTTTTTTGAATCATTACATCTTCCTATTCACGTCTTCTCTCTCTCTTTCTCGTATTCCTTCTTGTTACTAAGGAGCTCGTGTTCTTCACTGCCATTGCTTCATCTTCAGTGCCCCTTCATCTGGTAAGTCACTCAAATCCATCTTTCTTACTTTTGTTGTTTTCATATTTGCTTTATACAATCCACAGCAATCTGTTCATGTATTTTTACAAAACACTGTTTTTGCTTTTTCTGCCTTACGTTTTTTGGGAAAAAACTTCATGAGAACCCCATGAACTTTACGAAACAATCTGTAGAACACTCTGTTTAATCCATAAACACGTCTCAACCGAATTAGGATGCTGTTTATGCTATGTGTAAGTCTAGCCAGACCATTCAACCGAACTAATACTTATACCAGTAGTTTTAACAAGTCAAAAAACCATCTTTTTTGATTTATCTTAGCCGAGATAACAAACCGAACTAGATCTGCACTTAGTGTGTTTGAAGGCCTCAATTCTGACCGAACTATCTTGGGGCTAAACCAGCGCTCTTAGTTCAGACCGAACTAAGAAAGCTGCCCCTAGAATTTCAACCGGTCTAACAAATCACTTGCCCCAACCGAGCTACCAAGCACCTTGCTGAAACCGAGATAGGACCTGCAACATTTCACAAAGCCGAAGTAGGACTTAACTTGTTTTTACTTTGTAGCACGGTCTAAAGATCTGTGCTTAACACTTCTGTTTTTCACTTTGCAGACTTAGGTTGCCCAAACACTCCTTTTGATCGCTCAACCGAGCTACACAGCAACATTTTCCGACTGAGCTAGCACCAAGCATAATTTATACATAACTTAGGAATAAATGGGTAAATATAGGTTTTTAGTAGAAACACCAGGTGGCTTGGCCGAATTTCGAAGGGATTATAACATCCCTGACGTTGTCCACCTAACCTTAGCCAAAAAGGATGCTATACCTTGGGGAAACAAGGGCTTTGTACCCTTTACCCTTTTATCAATAATAGAAACCGTACTAAGATTTCCAGTCCAACCCTTGATTTATGAATTCCTTAGGCAAACGAGAATATGCCCAACCCAGCTTTCCACCAACTCATACCGCACAATAATGGGCATAGCCGAGCTAAACCGCCGAGCTGGCATTAACCTCGGCTTAGCCGAAATCTTCCACCAGTACTCCATAGGGTCGAAAGAAGACGGCTGGGTTTACTATCTTAGAATACACCGCCGCCGAGAAAAAATAATAAAAGACTTGAATAATGATGACTTTTCTGGGTGTCTGGCAATTTTGAAGACCAGCAAGCCCAGATCCCTGGCCGAAGTATAAACTGGAATAAAGGAGAACCTGGTATAATTACTTCGGTTTGTTGGCATGCTTTGCTTTATTTCGGTTACCTGCTCCTGAACCGAACTAACAGTTTGTTTTCTTTATACAGATTCAGCCCATCTTCAATCCTTGTACAATTATCCCAACCTGAACACTATCTGTGCCGCACTACGTTTTCCAAAAAGAAGTTGGGCCAAACTTCTAAATTTCGAACCGATATACAGATACAGCGGCCGCCGAAAAGCCAGAGTAACTGACTTTTTGTTGGAGGACGCCCTCGAACCAGACCCAACCTTGCCACAAATTAACCTAATCCCACTGACTGCTGAAGTTTCCAAAAAAATTCCTGTGACCTTCTTTTTACTAACGTGTGCATGGGTTCAAACTTTACAGCAATAGTTAATTCAAGAGTCTTTTGCTGGGATGGACTCAAAATTTTAACATAGCAAGTCAACATAAATAAAAGATATGAATTACAACATCAATTCCCATAAAAAAATAAAAAATAAAAAATAAGCTGAAAACATATATAAATAATATGTTTTCTTGTATTCAGGTTGAATTACAAAAGATGTCAGTTATAAAATAATTTATATACTAAAGTAAGGCATTTTGAATTGTGCTCAATACTTTTTTATGTCATTAAAAACAGAATAATACTAGGTTTCATGAAAAATATATCATGAAATGTTTTATAAAAAATTTTCATCTCTTGATTAGTGTGTGGTGTTTTCTTGTATGTGTAATCTAACGGTACAGAATCTTCATGATCATATTCATGATATTTTTTTCATGATATGTAGCATTACTCATTCAGAAAGGCATTATTCCTAGTTTTAACATCAGTTCTCTTATAGATGTTTTTAAGAGTAATGCTACCTATCATGAAAAAAATGTGATTAGTTATAATGCCTTTCTCAATTAATGTGATTAAGTTACTTGTGGACTCTTCTTCCACATTATTCTCTTCTTTATTGTCTAGGGCTTGTAATCAACACTAATTATATGAGAACTATTCCTTCCGTTAAATTTTGTCTAAATTTTTTGTTTTTATACTTTGCCCTGTTTCATAGATATATAGGGGAAGACCATTGATTTTTTTAAAAAAATTTAAAAGGGATGTACTGCTTTAAAAAAAATAAAAAAACCTTAGTGGAACGAGCTTATATAATTTGGAGATAATTAATAACTAATACCACTATATTAAAGGAGTTTTTTGAAATCGTAGGGTTCCATCACCCTGTCTTGTCTCGAATCCATTAAGGTCTTGTTTGTTTGGACGGATATGACCTTAGGATTGGATTAATAATCTAAAAAAATGTATAATTTGATGTTTGATTAAGAAAATTAGAGTCCGGATTAATAGTTTATTTGCACATAGTGTCCCCTATATGGAGAATTATTGAATCACAAGAAACGATAGGATACAAAATAAAAGATTAAGGAGATATTGGGCTAATTAGCTAAATTGTGAAATTGATAAGATATTGTCAATCCTTCCTCACAATCCTAAGTCAATCAAAACATGGAATATGATATACAATCCAAAGGGATTGATAATCCTAAGACTAACAATTCTAGGTATGCTAATCTTATTCAATCTAATCCGCTCAAACAAATATGACCTAAGTGAGCTCAACCAACCCAATTTTGGCCCGTGGGATCACTACAAGCCCTATTTTGATAATCTAATTAGACGATATTTTTATGTCTTATTGTACAGATTATTCATAAAAAAAAAAATTAAAAAAAAAAAAAAAAAAAAAAAAATAGATTGATGTGATAATTGTAGCTCATAATTTAATCATATTTGCATTTTAAAAAAATAAATGACAAGCTCAACCATAATTTTTACTACAAATTGGAATAAAACATCACAAATATTGGTAATTTTCATTACAAAAAACATAATTTTCTTACAATGTATCATTTTTAGAGATGACACAACATAAATTTCTTCAATATTGATATATAAAAAAACGTTATTATTTAAAATTTTGAGTGTTGTTATCCTTTTGCATTTAATAAATATTTCTCTTAGTTTGATAAAGAGTATTAATGTTTTTTCTATTTTAATTTTACATTTATTTTTTATTTTTTATTTTTTATAAAGAGGCCCGCTCTTAAAACTTGTCGAGTGTTATACACTCTCACTTAGTTTAGACAAAAAATGTAACTATTATAATCTAGTCTAAAATTACAAGGGAGTTGTTTGGCTGTTTTTAAACCATAAGGTGTAAAATGCTCCAACCTTAAACCACTAAGATATAAAATGAATTTTGTTATAAAAATTTTTGTCCTTGAACAATGAATGAAAACCCTACCATACACTGTATATTTATCGTAATATAATGTAGAAATGACTTATTCTTCTCTCCCTTAGGCCTTGTTTGTTTTAGTCTGAAAGTGATGAAATTGGACTAACAATTTGGTGGATCTCCTATTCTCCAATAGAGATAAACTTATTCACGAAATTAATTGTACTCCAGTGAAACCTATTGGAAAATTATAAAATTGTGTTTAGATTATAAATTTATATAGTAATTTGAAAAAAGAAATGGAAAGGGTGAAGCAAATATAAGCTAAATTTGCCTCATCTTTTTTTCTTTTTCAAATCCCTCCTTAAATTCATGATCCAAACACAGTGTAAAAAAATTATTTACAGTACAGCTGTGAATAAGTTTATCTCTTTGTGATAATATCATGGGACTATGAATCTCCTCCAAGGGGTATTAGCAATTCCATGAGGGGTTGTGTTTCACAATCCAATCCCTTGAGATTGAGATTGGACGTAAAAATATCATTATATCCCCACTTTACAAAAATAATAAAATTAATTTTATATATGAAGGACTTTTACATAAATTTATAGATTAAATGACAACCAGCTAGTATTACCATACTCCTATACAAACAAATACAATTTATTTTTACATGTTTAATGACACTGATAATTCCCTCATTCAATCATATCATACTAATAACCCATCCAATCCGGCAAACAAACTTTGTTACCTTAGGGGTGGTGTTTCAGTGGTTCTTTCTCTAACAGAATAAGAAGTACCAACTTTTCTTTGCTTTCAAACATACAACAATAAATTCAGTATCATATATATACACCATTTCATGGTGCTAGATTCATCAGAAAATCATGGCAAATTGGCTTATTATTTTCTTCACCTCCATTGTGTGGTGGTGTTGCTTTGGCAACACCCCTGCCACTTGCTTGCAAAATGAGACAGATAGATCAGCCTTGATTGCTTTCAAGTCTGCCATTGATCAAGACCCATTTGGGTCATTGATATCCTGGAATGATTCAGTGCACTACTGTGATTGGAATGGCATCTTGTGCAGTCATCGACATCCCAATAGAGTCGTGAAGTTGAGACTAAGGTCGCAAGGCCTGGTGGGATCACTCTCACCTCATATTGGAAACCTCTCCTTCCTCAAAAGCCTCATTCTTCGAAACAATAGCTTCCATGGCCCAATCCCACAAGAGATTGGTCGCTTGTTTCGACTTCAAAACATTTCACTCCGCAAGAATTCATTTCATGGTGAAGTACCCACCAACTTTTCCCAATGCTCAAATCTTGAAATCCTTGACTTGATCGGCAACAACCTAACCGGAAACATCCCGGCCGAGTTAGGATCTTTGTCGAAGCTTACATTTCTAGGCTTAACTACTAACAAGATTTCAGGAACCATCCCTCCTTCCCTTGGCAATCTTTCCTCTCTTACCCAACTTTCCTTAGGAAAATGTGCTTTGCGTGGAGAGATTCCAAAGGAAATTGCCCAACTTCAAGACATGATATTGTTTTATATCTCTGAAAACAATATAGCTGGCGAGGTTCCTGCAAGCATTTACAACATCTCCACTCTGTCTTCGTTTGAAATTTTTTCTAACCAACTTCGTGGAAGCATTCCTCCTGATATAGGCTTAACCCTACCCAATCTCACGGATCTTTTGTTTACTGGAAATAAGTTCACAGGACCACTTCCTATTTCATTGTCAAATGCTTCCAAACTTCAACAAATAGGCTTTGATGATAACAGCTTTGTGGGGCCAATGCCAAGAGATCTTGGAAGACTTTTAAGTCTACAAAAGTTTGGCGTTGGTGATAATTTGTTGCAGGATGACCTCAGTTTTATTTCATCACTAACGAATTGCACGAGTTTAAAAGCATTTAGCGTTACCGGCAATTTTCTCAGAGGTCCAGTGCCCAAGTCCATAGCTAATCTCTCTTCCGAGGTCAGCATAATTATAATGCAGGACAATGAAATATATGGAAGCCTACCATCAGGTATTGGGAACCTCCCCAATCTCGGTATCTTTGATATGGTAATGAATCATCTTAGTGGCCCTATTCCTACCACCATTGGGAAACTACATAATTTGCACCGACTTTACTTAGGCGTAAACTATTTCACACAACTACCGTCTTCAATAGGTAACTTAACTTTGCTAAATACTCTCTACTTGGGGCGAAACAAAATCCATGGAAGCATACCTTCGAGTCTAGGCAACTGTAAGAACTTGTTGGATTTAAATCTTGCTCATAATAATTTCCATGGCTCAATACCCCCTGAAATTATGAGTCTCTCTTCCATTTCAATCTCCTTCAACTTATCTTACAATGCGTTGACTGGTTCTCTTCCATTAGAAGTTGGGTCTTTGAAAAATCTTGAAAAGCTGGATGTGTCCAATAATAGATTATTAGGATCTATTCCCAACTCTCTAAGCAATTGTTTGAGCTTGGAATGGCTTCATTTGGAAGGCAATTCATTTGAAGGCGAGATACCTCAAAGTTTGAGAGAGTTAAGGGGTTTACAAGAGTTGGACCTTTCACGCAACAATTTATCAGGGTTGATCCCCAGTTATCTAAGTGAGCTCCATTTAGAAAAGTTGAATCTATCTTTTAACAAGCTACATGGGCGAGTTCCAATGGAAGGAATTTTTCGAAATGAAAGTGCTATTTCGGTGGATGGTAATAATGATCTATGTGGAGGCATTCCATACTTGCGTCTTCCTCTCTGCCCATCCTCAAAGTCCAGCAAGAATAAGCTCTCTCACAAGATGAAAGTGATACTCGCTGTCGTGGTTGTTCTGGTGTTATGTTCAATTTTGTTGGGTTGCTTATTCATATTCCTTCATTGGCGACGTGTTTCAAGAAAGACAGCCTTTTCGGTGCCATCACTTAAGCACCATCTGTTACGGGTTTCTTATGCAGAGCTTTTGAAAGCTACTGATGGATTCTCAGAGGACAAGCTAATTGGTGTTGGGAACTATGGTTCTGTTTACAAAGGAATTCTTGATCAGGTTCAGACAATGGTGGCAGTGAAAGCACTCAATCTCCAACTCAGAGGAGCTTCTAAAAGTTTTATGTCAGAATGCAAAGCACTAAGATTCATAAGACATAGAAATCTCTTGAAAATTTTGAGCGCTTGTTCTAGTGTGGATTTCCAAGGTAATGAATTTAAGGCTTTGGTATATGAATTTATGGCCAATGGAAGCTTAGAGAAATGGTTGCATCATGATGGAATCGAAAATAATGGACAACAAGAATCCAGAAATCTAAAGTTTATTCAAAGGCTAAACATTGCCATAGATGTTGCTTCAGCAATTGAGTATCTTCACTGTCATTGTGACTCAACAATTATTCATGGTGATCTAAAGCCGAGTAATGTTCTTTTGGATGATGAGATGATCGCTCATGTTGGAGACTTTGGGTTAGCCAAAATTATCTCCACTATTTCAAATGAGGTGGTACAACATCAGAGCAATTCAACTGCAGTAAGGGGAACTATAGGCTATGTTGCTCCAGGTATGGGTTCTTTATAATCCCCGTAATCATGCAACCACAAATGCATTAGAAGAAATTAACATTACCCTTCCTACATATGCTTACTATAAAGACGTACATTTGTTTTGATATCCTATTTTAAGAGCTCTTTGACACACATGCCAATGACAGCCCCCTGATATGTTGTATAACTTTGTCATTATAGTCATTCTTGGGTGTGTTCTTGCCTGGCTTGAATGGATTGTCGAACTAGAATTACTTTTGAACTGTATTTTTGTTAGTTAGTAGTTACCATCAAAATGTCTTGGATTATGACCAAATCAATTCTGAGTTCAATCTAAATGCAACCATTTTGATCGTATGGAAATTTAATTGTGCTTGATGTCATTAGCCGGACCGAACTTGTCCATCAACCTGAACTTATTTTCCTTTTTATTTATTTATCTAGGTAGAATTCTAGTGTGTAATTTTAAGCACATCGAGACCCACCGCTTTTGCAAATGTGAAGAATCCAACATTTGTATCTTATAGCATTTATTAGTTGTAACATATTCCAAAAGCTTACAAAGATTGTCTGAATTCTAGAAATGATGTAATAAAGAATTATTTTTACTGGTTAGATTCATATAAGTTATATGGCATATTTAGAAAAAGATGAAAATAATGGAACAAACAATCAATTCCTAAGGGAATTAGGATGACTTGGTGTATTGCTTAGTCAGAGAGATTTATTGTTGGGTCGACATTAGTATATATATCTTCAAAATGCTGGTAATAAGCCAGAAAAATAAATTCTCACGTGCATAAAATGGGTGGGTGGGGACTGTAGATCCTACCTACCCCCCTTCCCTCACAAAAAGAAAAAAAATTGAAATATTGTGTTTTCGTTTTTTATTCAAAAAAAAAAAAAAAAAAAAATTTGAAATATTGTTGATTCATCTTCTTGTAACATTGTTATATTGGCATTTGCCTGTATATCCCAAGACAAAGTCGATCCAACTTGAACAACCTTTTTTCTAAGTACAACTGACAGTAAAGCACACTAGTTTTTCTAAGCCGTCTAATGTCTGACAAAAAATATTCAAATCATTCATTGAATTTGCAGAGACAATGATGGAAGCTCTTTGTAAGCCATTACAAACTCTCTGTGACTTCATCATTTTTGGAAACTTACAAATTTGATTACGAAAGAAATATCCATGCTTGACTCATTTTGTTTGATTCAATCAAAAGACAATTTATTTTTTTCTGTATAACATATTACATTCAGTTTGGTTTCATATTTTGGGTTCCCAATCTCACACATGTACAAACACAAAAAATTGAAAAATTGAGAAGGCAACATTATGCCCTCAACAAGATTGTTTCTTCCAACTATAGTTGGGTTATATTTTAAAAATTATTTTACTATTACAACTATGTGAATTAATCACTCTCAATTTGCGGACTGTTGGGTACTAACACTTAAATCAATTTGCAGAGTATGCCATGGGCAACAGGGCTTCCACAATAGCCGATGTGTATAGTTATGGAATTCTTCTCATGGAGATGTTTACAGGTAAAAGACCAACTGATAACGTATTTAAGGATGATCTAACTCTTCATATCTTGGTTGAGAGTGCTTTGCCCGACCAAGTGCTGGAGATTGTGGATCCCCGCATTCTTTCAGAACACGAGCCGAGAAGTTGGCTTAAAGACACTCTGGTTTCTGTCTTGAGAATTGGAGTTGCATGTTCAATGGAATCGCCAAGGGATCGAATGCAGATTCAAGATGTAGTTAACGCATTATGTAAGATAAAAAAAGTTCGTGAAAATAATAGGTTGAGACAAGACTAGGAAAATCTTATCAAACATGAAATCCAAAGGTGTGTCTCCCATCAACTCTCTTCCATATATGTGTGCATGACAAAATGGATTTTTGCCCTTTCCCAAAATCTAAGTTCGATTTCTCATAATTTTCTTTTGGGTTTCAATTTTGTTTGCGTAGGAAATACAAGCAAATCAAATCATGCTTATGACTACCCTATTTTCTCTGCGGATGCTTAGGGGCTACAATCCATATGTTGGTGTGATCCTTACGTTGTCTTCATCAGCTGTGTGTTCAACAAATAACTTCAATTTTACTTCCTATGTGAGTTGTAAGATTTGTTGATGTGGGATCTTTTAGAGTAAGTGTATACGTCTATAACTTTTCCTTTCTTATCTAGTTTATGATCTTTCGGGAGTAATGTTAGCACTTCACTAAATTACTTATCATCATTTCATTAGTATAGTTCTAAGTTACATTTGTGGTTCTTGAAATTCAAATAAGCTAGAGATAAAGCTTCTCTGCTTGTCCGATTTTAGTATAGTTTTAGTTTCGTTTGTGACAGTGGTTGTGTTTGGGGTTTTCATAGTTATAAGTGCAAAAGGTGTTGGCTTCATGGTTTCTAGTAGGCTTTATTTCTAGATAAAATATTATTGTAATTTTGATCAAAGTAAAATTTTGGTTCTCTTTCAAATCGTGGCTTAAAGCCACTACTTGAGTGACTTAGGCCTTGGGTCGGCCCGAGAGGCAGGAGGGGGCATTAGTAATGGTTCACTTGAATGGTGTGTGGGTGCAAAGGGGATTGACTTAAAAATGAGTGTAATAGCCGTATCGAATAATTATTAACATTTAATATTATCATTCAATAATAAATTATCACATGGTACGATAAATAATATTTAAATGTAATTATTAGATTCAATATAATTTAATAACTATCACATGTAATGCATAATATTTATTACATTTACATATGATGATGATTCATTGTATTAAATAATAATATTGTACATTTAATCATAACGTGATATTAACGTTATACTAAATTATTAGGGGTTTGGTCTAGTCCACTTGAATTGTGTGTGAGAGAGAGAATGTAGGCGTCTTCGCCTTAATTGTCTTAAAATAAGTTTCTATTCATCAATTGCGGGCCTTTTGGTAACGCTACCAATTTCACACATTTTTTCTTACTGAAATATGACTATGTTGAATTTTAAATGACCTTCAATCTCACTAGATTGAAGAGGCTAGTGCTTTTCTTTTTTGAATTAGGACCTTAAATTTGCATGGACGAGTGTTTGGGTGTCAAGACAACCAAAAGTTGAGAAAAGATAGGGATCATGAAAAAACTTTCATGAAACTGATCATGAAAAATTTATGACCCTTAGATTACATTGATTAGTGTGTGGTGTTTATTTTAAGTGTAATCCAAGAGTCATAAATCTTTCATGATCATTTTCATGAAAGTTTTTTCATGATACGTAGCACTGCTCCTAAAAGTTTTTATATTTTGTTAGACCTTTGGAAATTTTATGATTTTAACTAATAACCCCAAACCCCAAAGCTGCACTGTTGACTTGAAATTTGGCACTGAAAGAAAACTGTGCCACAAAAAATCACTACAAGAAGTTTAAAATATAAAGCAAGTAATAAAAGAAAACTTATGGAGTATATAGAAGTGTTTGCTTGATTTTGTACAGAGTGAAAATCAAGTGGTCGATTCGTTTTACTTCATTGCCTTCGATAAGGATCCCTGAAATGGAGCTAATTTCTATTCTAAAAAATTAAAATTATGGACAAAATAGTAGTATCATGATGAAAAATGTTAGTATTTAGAGGTTCAAAAAACAGTGTCCAATTCAGCTTAAATTTGACGTAGCAGCTCAAGATGCAGGGGGCATTGGGTGTTGAGAACGTTTATGCTAGGATCTGCTAAATATTAATGAGATCACTTGCCACTAACTTTTTTTTTTTTTTTTTTTTTGATCGGCAAAAGTCAATAATTAGTTATATTAGCAACTTGAGAGAGTTGAACCCCCAATATCAATATACATCTCTCTCTGACTATAGACTTTCCCCTTTTACTAATCAAATAAAAGTGAGGAAGATGTAGTATCATTGATTTATTTGACAAACAGTGTCGTGGGTCAATTTTATTGATGGCCCAAATCATTGCTTAGTTGTATTCACTGTGAAAAGGAGTAAAGTGAAATCTATACTTTTTATACATAATGATTTGGTTGCCAAATTATTCTTTCATTTTCAAACAAAATACCCATTACTTAGGCTCATAGTTTCAAAAAATACTATTGAGACACTATTATGTTTGTGTACCATTTTACCTAAGCACCTTGTCTTTCTTTTTTAGCATGTTAGGCAATCGAACATGAAAAAAGAATATGGACAGTATGATATAATAGCTATTTGAATCATGGAGTTTGTAACAAGCCCGCGGGGGACCTTGCTACAGCTCGGACTCGATTTCGTAGTCACGGTTCTAAATCTTGAACCAAAGAGTCCAAATCCGGCAAATCGTTTTGAGAAAACAGGTTTTTGAAAGAAGTGCCAAACATGGATTGCTTTGCCAGATACAGAGTCGCCACCTAAATATTTTATTTTGGGAAATTTAGGAAACCCTGACTCGGTGCTAAAAGGCCACGTATCCGTCATCACCAAAATTGCCTCGGCTCGGGAACTTGGGTACGATTGGGGAAGGTCACTTCGTGAGCACCCCCACTCGCCCGATCAAAGATCGGCCTCTACTAACCATGATATCTATTTTTGAAAACATTGCGAGTTCTTATTCCAGTTATTAGCCTAGGTTACTATGTGATGCGCACAGCAAATAAGTATAGACCGGGTCACCTGAATTGGAACAAAACATTTCATGGTTGTTCGTTTTGAAAATGGTTTGCTACCCGCAGGTAGGCTTAAAAATGCAGATTTTGCCATCCTCGGGTGGGCTTAGAAAAGATGGTTTTGCCACTATCTAGTGGGCTTAAAACTCACAGTCAATGATTTGTTCCAATCCAAATAACCCAACCTTCACCCACAGGCATTCAGGCAGTTATATCACATAAGCAATTAGCCTCATGGCAAGCATGCTATCATGGCAGCACTCGCACGCATGCAAGGATGCTAAAGCATCCAGTGGATGAAAATGAAGTGCCTCGAAATGCGTGCGCACGGGCACGCAAATTGAGGCACTGGCATACGCAATGCAATGGCATGGAAAATGATATGCAAACATGCTAATGGAATTTCAGCACTGAAATGTGGGGAAAACAGCCCCGAAACGAGGCAAAAGTACACCCGATGCACGGAATAGTCCCGAAACATGAATTTTGGCACCCGAAATGGCCTATAGCTATGCAATGCGTGCACAATTGGTACATGGAATGTAAAGACAGAAGCAAGACAGCCCCAAAATTAACATTTTACCAGTACAAAACAAGGCCAAACAGCAAACAGAAGCAGGGCAAAACTAGCATGCAAGAAATGGCCCTAAATGTGAGATTAAGAAGCAACTCATAGCTGCTGGCCCCAAACAGGTTAGGGTCCTTCAATAATGTTGAAGAGGGACCCAAAATATGATGTTTTTCAGAACTGTAAAAACCCCAAAAACCAATACAGGTACGGCTGCACTCTTATGCAAGAAAAGGGGCCAAAAGATGGCCAAAGAAGGAAGTGGTAGATGCAAAGCCCAAACAGAAAAGTACCCTTCTACAACACTGATGAGGGACCAAAAATATGACTATTTAAAGTTTATGGAACCCCCAAAAACAGTATACAAACATGCTAGAAATGCAATGCAAAATGAGGCTCAAAAGTGGCTACAACATGAGGTATGCAAAGCAATCACCAAAAAAGAATAGACCCTTAATAAAACATGTCAAGAAGGTCAAAATAAAGCCACTTTCAGTTATGTAAATCATCCAAAAATGGAAGCAAGATAGGCTAACAAATCATGCAAAAATGGGGATTAAAAGAGAGATATAACATGAAGTGTGTAAAATATGCCTCAAACCATGAAAGGCACTTAATGAAAGATGAAGAATGGGCCAAAATAAGACTATTTCTAGCTCTGTAAAATGACCAAAAATGGAAGCATAATAGGCTACCAAGTCATGCAAGAAATGGGGACCAAAGATGGATAAAAAGACAGGTGGCATATGGAGGTCCCAAACAGGGATGAGCCCTTCTTCAATGTTGAATAGGGGCTCAAAATAAGCCTACTTACATTTTATATGATGCTCCAAAACAGATCACACACAAGCTAAAAATACCATGCAAGAAAATGACATTCAAGAAGGATATTGAAGCAAGTGCAAGATGGAGGGCTTAAACAGGGTTGAGCCCTTAATGAGACATGAAAATGAGCTCAAAAAAATGACCTTTTCAGTTTTGGTCGGAGCTCAAATATACAATAAAGAGAGGCTAAGAGATGTTGCAAAAATGAGCTAGAAAAGAGGGAAAGTGAACTTACCCTTGAAGACTTGACTTTTGTTGCTTCTTGGCTTGAGTTTGTGGCTCCTTAGGCCTTGGAGAACACCTTCAATCTTCTGAAATGGAGGATGGAAGGGTGGGGGGGTGGTGGTGTAGAAGGAATGGTGGTTTAGGACTTGGAGGTTTTTCAAGGAAATGAGAGAGATGGAGAGGGATTCTTGTATCAAGGCTTGAAGGTCAAATTTTCTAACCCCTAATACCAATATTGCCTGCTGGTTATATGGACCAAAAGGGGGGAGCAAAGGAGGGGCAAAAGGTGGGGGAAAGTAGGCAAGTTTTCTCCCACAAAATATCCCCCGGATTGAGATATTTTCTGGGGGATATAGCTATACAGCTGTAAAGTGGAAATTGTGAGGATAATGGCCGGCCCCTTTTTGGAGCTCCAGGTGGCCGGCCGGCCACCACCCCTAGCCGGCCGGCTAGGGGTCAAAAGGGTCAAGTTGAAATAGTGGCCGGCCACTACTTTTTAGGGTCCTCCCAAGTGTGTACATCACAGATATGTGGTTCAAAGTTCAAGAAAAAAGGCCCAGGTGGTTCAACATTAGCCTGGAAGGAGGGGTTCAAAAGGGTCAAGCAATATTACTGACCAACCACCAACTTTTAGGATCCTCCCAAGTGTGTACATCACAGATATGTGGTTCAAAGTTCAAGAAAAAAGGCCCAGGTGGTTCAACATTAGCCTGGAAGGAGGGGTTCAAAAGGGTCAAGCAATATTACTGACCAACCACCAACTTTTAGGATCCTCCCAAGTGTGTACATCACAGATATGTGGTTCAAAGTTCAAGAAAAAAGGCCCAGGTGGTTCAACATTAGCCTGGAAGGAGGGGTTCAAAAGGGTCAAGCAATATTACTGACCAACCACCAACTTTTAGGATCCTCCCAAGTGTGTACATCACAGATATGTGGTTCAAAGTTCAAGAAAAAAGGCCCAGGTGGTTCAACATTAGCCTGGAAGGAGGGGTTCAAAAGGGT